GTGCCGTCCCCGCCGACTGTCCCGACTGTCCCCTGCCAGGTGGTGACCGCTGACGTGCTGAGGGACGCCCGCATCCTCATCCTGCACATGGTGAGAGCCGACCTGCAGCCTGGCGTGGGACCCCGCGTTGCACCCGCTCCCTCCCGCTGACCCCGCCACGTTCTCCGTCCCGCCAGGGCCGCGACTTCTCCTTCGACGACTGCGGCCGCGCCTTCACCTGCCTGCCCGCGGAGGAGCCCGGCGCCCCGGCCGAGGCGCTGGTCTGCAACCTGGACAGCCTGCTGGGGACCATGACACACCGGGTCTGTGTGGCCTGGGGAAGGGGCCCTGGGGGTGGGTTCAGCTCCCAAAATGGTGGGAGGGGTGCTGGGTGCCCCGCGAGGGCCGGGCCCCTTCCCTACCATCCCTGGGCACGTGGCCCTTCTCTCAGCAGCTCTGTGTGGGCTCCCCGCCCGGCGTCTGGGTCTGCAGCACCGACATGCTCCTCACCGTGCCCTCTGCACCAGGTCAGTGAATGCTAGGCTTGCTTCCAGCTCCTGCTTTGCCTGGGACAGGGTTCTGAGCCAGCAGCACAGCTGGTTGAGCCTGCACTGTGCTCCCACGAGGGTGTGGGTGCTCAAGCATTCCTGTCCCGTGTGTGGTCAGCAGCACCTGTAAGGTGGCCCAGGCTGGATGGTGATGTCACCTCCTCTGCCGTGGGCCCAGTTTTCAGGCAGCTGTGCCCAGTGTGGGTACGTGCACTGCCCCAGTGGGCACTGGTCTCTGTCCTTCTCCCCAGGGATCAGCTGGGATGGCTTCCAGGGCGTCAGAGTGATCGCGGTGCCCGGGAGCCCGGTGTATGCCAGGAACCACGGGGTCTACCTCACCGATGAGCAGGTTGGTGGCAGCTCACCCTTCAAGGGACATTCCTTGGAGGTCCCCACCCCTTCATCCCTTGGCTGCTGTGGTCCCAGCACTGCTGTGGCTGCTTGGCTTGGGGCTCCCTGAGGAGCTCATTGGGGTGGTCTCTCTCGCAGGGGCTGGTGCGTGACATCATCTACAAAGGCACAGAGGCCCAGATCCAGCAGTGTGCAGGGCCTGATGGCACCGTCCCACTGGTACAGCATGACCTGGGCATTGGTGACCCTGCCAGCACCATCCCTTGTGTCACCACAGCTGCAGCCTCAGCCCTGCCATGCCCTGACAGGTCTGTGGGATTGTTTTCTTCTCCTCGGATGCTGCTGAGCAGCTTCTGGCCACCCACGTCATCCCTCCTCTGGATGCCTGTACCTACATGGGGCTGGACTCAGGGGCACCTCCCATCCAGGTGACAGTCCCTCCATGGGGGATGGGACCCCTTGCCACATGGGTGCCTCTTCTGTGCATCTCTGTAGGATCTGTTTGCACCCACAGCGCCAGATTTGGATGGGAGAAATGGTGGGAGGGAGCATCCAGTAGTAGGGTGGCTGCACCTGACAAGTCCCTTCTCTCCCAGCTCTCCCTCTTTTTTGACATCGTGCTGAGCATGGCAGGGGGGATGACAGAGGAGGATTTTGTGAAGGGTGGCAGCGATGCCAGCGTGAGGAGTGCCCGCTCCGTGCTGTGGACAGCTCTCCGTGGCTTCCCTCTTAGCATGGGTGAGCGCTTCCTTCCACCTTCTAGTGGAAGGTGTCCCTGCCATGTGGGTGAAACTAGATGATCTTTAATGTCCCTTCCAACCCACAGTCATTCTGTGATTCAGTGCTGTGGTGAGTGTGTGTGATGTGACCCATCCCTGGGCCCTCTTCCCCTGTGTATGGAAAGATGGGGTGGTCAGGGCCTGGCAGCTCTCTGTGTCTCCCCACAACTGCAGGTCCCCAGATCTTCTCTCCCCACCCCTTCAGCTGGGGATGTTCAGCCTGTCCTGGGCTCATGGGGGTGTCAAACACACCCACATTGTTTGCTGGCGTGCTGAAATCTCTCCTGCCTTCCCCAGCCTGCATCCCTGATGCATCCTACGACTACATGACCACCTCTGCAAGTGACCACATCCGCAGCCTGACTCTCCTGCCTGGCTCTGCCAGTCACCTCCGCTTCTGCAAGACAGCCCATTCCCACGTGGACGTAGGTGCTTCTACCCCCAGCCTTGCTCATGCAGGTTTTCTGGGGGTTGCTCTGGGCTGTGTGCCTGGCTCCTGGTCCCACGTGCCTCTGTGCCCTCGGCAGCAGCCCTGTCTCCTGGAGGATGGCTCTTCAGTCACCAACTGCCTGCTGGAAGGAGCTGTAGGGCTGGCAGCTGGCAGTGTCATCCAGCACTGTCACCTCCAGGTACGTGACTATGGTGGGAATGACCTGGAGCTCCCAGTGCACTGAAAGGGCAGTAGGGTGATGTGGTGCTGGCTAGGATAGGGGACTCACAGCTGTGAGATTTGGGGTGCCCTTCCTCTTCAGGGCTGCCTTTTGGCTGGTGGCTGTCAACCTCCACAACCAAGGGGAGAAGGCTGTCACCTCTGGGCTGTCCCTCCCTGGGGATGAGGGCAGACTCTCTCCTTGAGGGCTCAGTTATGGCTGAGAGCCCTGGAGGCTGTCACCTGACCTGAATTTCTGTAGTTC